TGTTGCAAGCCCTTAGCCATTTTCAAGGGGCCTAGGCCAACCTGCAGAAGTATGGCTAAGCAGAAGGTCTCAAAGCCTGTTTCTGAGTGACTGTAGCTTGAACCTTTACAGATGTAACAGCTAGCTTGGCCAGCAAAATAATGGAGGCCATCCAAATGTCTAGCTAAACCAGTAATGAGATGCAATTAAACAAAATACAAAGCCTGAAAGGAGACATTAGAAGGGAAGACCATACATTAAATCATTCAAATAAACTATATCACAGCTTTATCTTAAAATATTAGTAGTAGTGTTTGATGTAACCAAATGTATTGGATGTTATTTTGCTATAATAGATATATTATTGTTAAGATGCTTAGATAATTTGTAAAAACAAAACAGTCTTGTCAGAGAAGACCATAATCTTAGGAAAAGAAGAAACAGGACAATGTTGAACAGCATTCCGCAATGTGGAAGGAAAGGAGATAAGAATCCCTCCATTTACTTTCCCAAGGATGTAGGTAGGCAACCACTGATCCTCTGGATCATGATGTACGCATAAATGGTCTAGTAAAGATACCTGATGAATCTATTTGTGATGGTCAAGTCCATTTTGAGAGCAACACAACTTGTTACAAGTTGCACAGATCCATATGTTGTCTAAGTTGGAGTCCAAGTTTACAGCACCCTGCTTTCTTCTTTCTTGCTTTGCTTCCATCCTGTGGATCAAAGCTGCTTCATGTTGAGCTGCAACCAGTGCCAGATGTTCCCTCCAAAATGGACAGAATTCTCCACACTCCTCTTAGCTTTCTACATTGATGTTGAATGACTTCATATAATTTTTGCACACATTGTGGTACCACCGTGGACTGTGAAGGGCCACCCCACTTTCTAGAGCCATCTCGAATTTCACCATACAAAATCTTCTTGGGGATCTGGTCTGCTGCTATTCCCCTGACATGGCTGATCCATCACACAACCTCTTCTTGATAGTGGTTTCTAAGTGTGTCAGTCCTCTGTGTCTAGCATCTCTGTGTTTGGTATTCTGTTTTCCCACTTTATTTTCAGGATCTTACACAGATATCTCATGTGGAAGCTGTTCAGTTTCTTGATATGCCTAACATATGTAGTCCATGTTTCTGAACCATAAAGCAGGGATAATAGCATACAAATCTCACAGATTTGTAACTTCACTTCGGGTAGCTGTTTGCTGTTATTCCATGCACATTTCTGTAATAGTTTGAAATTCTTAGCTGCTTTTCTAATTCTGTTAGTCAATTCAGTCTGAAGGTAAAGATTCCTGTTGACTGTAGAACCCAAGTAGCAAAAACTGTCAATGATACCAAGAGATTTATTTTCCATAGTGATCTCAGGTATTGGTTCTTTCACTTCTTGGTACATGATCGCAGTCTTCTTGAGACTAATTGCCAACCTGAAGCTTTTGCATGATTCAAAAAATCTACCTGTAGGAGGGTGTGCTAAGGACCGACTCTTTGTCCAGGTCTACCAGGTCTCCACCTCCCTTTCCCTTCATTCTCTCCTGCCACTCCTTGTTAAGAAATAAAAGGGAGGTTAGTTGATCAGAGAAGAGCAGAGATCCACCTGACTGAGGGCTGTCCTCTTCACAGGGCTCCTCTCAACCTTACACCCTGCTCCTTACTATTCCTGGCCGGGTGTTCCAAATCTGTGGCCTTAACTTGGGATCACTGTGCCCCTCAGTTAGTCACTCCCAATCAGCCCCTTATGGTCTAGCTGTCATCCATATGCCCAGAGACACTCCTTACAGGCTCACTACCTAATGGATCTTTTGGGCCTCTCCTGGTGTGACAATCAGTTCTTGGTCCAGTCAAGAATACCAGCTCCTGACTAGTTTGTTTCACAATGTCATAAAAGTTCAATTACTTATCAATGAATTTAATAGTCCCTCCTGATTCATGGGAGAGGGTTCCATCATCAATGAATTCTGCAGTCTCTCGTAATTCTGAAAGGAGTAATCAACTATCAATGAATTACACTGTCTTAATCCATGAAAGAGTGATCAATTGACAATTAATTCCATGGTCTCCCTTAATTAATTGAAGATTTATCAATGGTCATGAGCCTCCACCATCCCACTGGCTTGGTAGAAGAACAATTCATTATCAATGCTTCTGACAGCCTCTCTTGAATCATAGCATCCTAATTAACCATTAATGCATCCTGTGGATTGCCTTTAACTTCCTGACCATCAGTTAGCCATCCCTGAGCCTCTCCGTCTCTATCCTGTATACACATTCAATTGATTACCCCCTTTTCTAATCAGGGTTGAGGCTCATAACACTGCACTAGCATCTTAACAGCAGTCTGGGGACATGCTTAATCCATTACCCCCAGAAAAACCCTGCTTCCTTTTTCCAACAGTTGGTTCCTCTTCACTCCACTTCACAGTGAGCCTGATATTGCTTAATGACTGTCTGCTTTCGAGTCTTCCCAGTCTTAGTGGATAGCACCACTGTGTCCCTGTGCCGCAGCTGAAGAGATCCCAGCTCTGTGTCTCCATGTGGTTTGCATGGCGTTCTGTTTGCCATGCATTCCTGTCTCCAGGGGTCTGAGTATGCCAGTGCCTTCTTTCCAGTCTGCTGGAACTCCCACAGACCAATGAGGGCTTACTCCTTCAGCACATGACCACACGTGGCCAACACACAGACCTTTCCTCTGGCTGCTCTGGCAACTGTTCAACCCCATGAAACTTTTTGGGGTAAACTTATCCCCTGACCCCGTCCCAACAGCGTTCCTCAGCCAGAACAGGGACCGGAGCTGGTTTCCTGTTACACTGCCCATGAGATTTTGCAGGAAAGATTCATTGTGGGCAGCCAAGTAGTCATCCACAAACAGGAAATCTCTCAGAACCAGCTCTTTCACCTTGGTTTTTGCTTTAAACCTTACAATGTTGAACAAGCCTCCATCTAGTCTGGTTCAAAGATAATGCCATCATCGCTGCCCTTGATTGCACAAGGAATCAGGAATAAAAAGTAGATGTTAAAAAGCATGCTCTCTGTTGTTTAGGACCCCCACCCACACTGGCCATGACATTGTTTTGGGAAATTGTCTTAAAATACTAAAGACATGTTCTTGTGATTGAAACTCACTGCCTGGCCTGATGAGTTAAGCCTAACTTTTAGGAAAACATAATCTACCTACATATGTAACTTTTAAAATGGCACACTTTAAGGTAGATTTTGTGCTCCTATTTTTGCTAGCCATTGCACCCCGCCAAGTAAGTATGTATCCCAATGAAAAGTATCACCACTAATTGACATTTTAAACTCTTGGGTCTCTAGGTCAGCAGGTAGCCAGGAGCATCTTAATCCACATATTTGGTAGTTCAGAGATGATTTTCAAAAAATCAGCAGATGATTTTACCTTAAGTGCTGGGGTTTATGTAACACAATAATTCCCAGAACATTGCCCTTTTATGCAAACAATTTGTCTCCAGCAAAAAAATGAGAGCTCCACACATATGGATTAAAGACATTTCTTTAAGCGCATACGCAACTGGTAAAGGAGGCATGGCGGGGCATGTGCCCCTGCTCCCCCTCCCGGCAGGGCCGTCCCCACTGCCGGTGTCTGTGGGTGCTCGCCATCTCTGTCCCTGATGCTGCTGCCATCTGCGGGTGCTCGCTAGCCCTGTCCCTACTATGGATGCCACTGCTGGCTTCTGCAGGTGCCCCCCCAGACTCAGGAGGCACCAGTTGCACGTGTGTTTTGGTTCTTGGATTTTATACAGTAAAAGACAGCTAGTGCTCATTATGCCTGCCTGTGTCCTAGATATCAAACTGCCCCATCCTTGGGGGTTTTTAAGACCCAGCTTGACAAAGCCTTGGCTGGGATGATCTAGCTGGATATGGTCCTGCTTTGAGCAGGGGTTGGACTAGATCAGTGTTTCTCAACCGGTGGGTTGGGACCCAAAAGTGGGTTGCGAGAATATAGGAAAGAGTTGTGAAGAAGCTTGAAAAATGGATTTTCTTTTAAAGGAGAAAAACGTGGGAAAATGCAGCTTTAGCCCTTGCAGACTGGCAGGGTTCCAGCCTGCCAGGGGCTGCTTGGGACCCTCCTGCCCCACACACCGGAGGCTGGGAGCAGTGAGTGAGGGGCACTGGGTTGGGACTGGCCACCCGTGTTTAGAAATGGGTCCCATTGGCGGTGCGTAAGGGGTGCACACAGGCACATGTGCACTCGAGTGTGGTGGTGCACCCCTGTGAAAAGGCACTGCTGACACTGATGGTGGTGCCTGCGGGCAGTCGCCACTCACCATCCCCCCCACCGACAGTGCTGCGGCCGCCTGCCACGCCCCCCCCCCCCCAGCCTTGGGGGGCACACGGCGTCCACAATGGGTACAAAAAAGGTTGAGAACCGCTGGGATAGATGCAACCTCCTGAGGCCCCTTCCAGCCCTCACTTTCTATTCGATATAAGTCAGAAAAAAAGCAGCATGGCCACGTGGCAGGCCAAGGCCGACGGGGATCTCCATCCATTGCAGGTGTCTAAGTGTCCTGTGCGGCGGGAACATCCCCTGCTCACTGCACTGCAGGTTTTGAACCAGTCCTTTCAACTGGCCTGAGGTTTTTCCAGGAGGGAGAGAACCTGCCCGGGCTTTGCATCGACTGTCCAAACACGCGATGGCGAGCACGGCTTTTGGCAGAGGCTCATCACAGGGCATCTCTGCAGGCAGAACGCAGGTGCGGCGCGGAGCCGGCAGGGGGCGTGCCGCGCGTGACAGCTCTCGGTGCTCCTCGCGGGCAGGGCGCCCGCCCCTTCCGGGGGTGGGGC